GTTTTCCACGGGGAATGGCAGGCAGGGTGTCTCCACAGCCGTGTGATCTCAGAGCGCCAAGTCTCTGGGGTGGCCCTGGGCAGCTGTGTTCGGGCCAGGGGGTGTCATCAGTGACCCCATTGCTTCAGGCTCTTTTGGGGATCAGACCCTGGTTCGCTGTGTGTGGGTGTCATGGAGGGGTCTCGGGCCTTCTCGCTGAAGGATGGTGTGCAGGGGGGCTCCCATCCTTCGCTGAGGCTGCCCCCCTCTAAGAAAAGGGACATTGTCCGCTCTGGTGACCCTGCCTGTCGTTGCAACCAAAGCAGCGAGTTCTCTTCTTGAAACCCAGAAAAATCAGCCCTTGTTTCCTAAGTCAGAAGGAACAGGATCCCGGCGGGGAGTTCACGGGAGACCTTTCCAAGTATCTGCGCGTCCTTGGCAGCAGCACAGGGCGCTGGGGCTGACACCCTCTTCCTCGGTGGGGGCAGGGAACAGTCACAGAGAGGAATGAAGTTCTGACTCCCATGATTTAAACCCCACGACAGCTCTCGTGGATGGAAGGTGCCTTGGGGCAGCGGTTCTCAACCTGTGGGTCGCGACCCCTTTGGGGGTCAAACGACCCTTTCACAGGGGTCGCCCAAGACCACCGGAAAACACATATATACTTACATAGTTTTTGTGATGAATCACTATGCTTTAATTATGTTCAACTTGTAACAGTGAAATTGGGGGTCACCACAACAACATGAGGAACTGTATTAAAGCGTCGCGGCGTTAGGGAGGTTGAGAACCACTGCCTCGGGGGCTCTCTGCTGGGGGAGTTGGTGTGCAGGGAGCCCGCACCACGCAGACGCACGGGCATGTGCTGACGTGAGCAAACCCTGGCCCTAGGACCCGGGAAGGGACCCTCGCTGACCTTTCATCTGGTGCCACTTCACCAGGAGGGAGGGGGGTTTCAGAGGTGGAGACTGGGAAGAAGGCCTTCCAGGTGGAAGAGGCTCGAAGTTCTAGAGGCAACAGGGTGAGAGGCGCGTGTGCCCAGGACAGTGAGTCCTCGGGCGGCGGCGGGATGGGCCTGGTTTTCAGCCCGAGGCTCCCGGGCCCCAGGAACATTAAAATCTCATCTTTTTATCACTGTCCCACATGGTGTTCACAAGTCTGAGAACCGGCACAGCCACACATTTGCTAACAAGTCAGGGTTTTTGACTTAGAATTTGAAGAGACGTTTTTGTCAGTAACAGCGCGTTCTAACCACCTTGGCGTTCCGGGGCGTTCCCGCAGCCGCCTCGCGGGACCCTCAGGAGCTGAGTCTGCGCCCACCGCCGTGGATGTGAGTGGCGTGGGCTGTGCCTGGGGGATTTTTGGAGTGATTCCTGGCCAGCACCCCGTCTTTACAAATAAAACCGGAAGCGTGCTTTCATCCCCCTAATGGTTACCTCGGCGTCTGTTGAATGCCGTCACCCTACAGCTTCCAGTCTTTGTTCTCTGCAGTAAATGCTGCTGAAGGAATCTGTGTGCAGAGGCACTTTTGGGGGTACGTGCAGAAACCCCATCAGCATCTTTACGAAAGGTTGGCCTTTGAAAAAGCCCCGGTAAGCTCTTCTCACTGGCTGGAGGACCGTTTTGACAGCCGGGTGGTGGTCCGCGAGCTGATGAGTTACCGAGCAGCTTCACTCAGCAAGCCCAGTGCGCGCTTCCCCAGGAGAGGGCCTCTCACCACCCCAGCGGCTCAGGAGAACCCAGCCCCATCAAAACATACAAACAGATGAAACCCAGCCCGTGTGGCCCCCCATCTCCGCAGAAGGAACATGCAGCAGGGCTGAGGGATTCCGAAAGCCCCTGGTTACAGCGGGTCTTGGGGTGGGTGGGGAGGGTTTAGTTTGGGGCATTAGATCTTTGAGACTCAAGAGCACGCCCCGTCCTCCCTCTCCACCCCCATCATTAGAATGGCAGGACGAACAGGCCTTACAACGGGCCTAGTGCGGTGAGAGGACCCTGAAAAGAGCCAGCCTGGCAGATGGTGAGGCCTCGCACAGGGCAGGGACGTTCTCGAACCCACCACCCGAAGGCCTGGGGCTTGGAGGCCAGCAGCAAGGTGAGGATCGGTCAGCTGCAGGGTCCACGATGCAGGAAGGGTTGGATTCTGTGAGCCTCGGCACCCTGAGCAAGCCGACAGGTCCACCGGGCTCGGGCCAACCACCCGGTGCCCGGAGCCCTGAGGGTGCACAGCAGACCGCTCCTTCGAGGGTGTGGGCAGGGCCTCTCCCTATCCCTTCCCCCTTTGACACGGCACATCTCCGTCTGCACCTCCAGCAGGCTGTCCCCCTCCGTGTCCTCCAGGGTTCCAAACAGAGACCGTGGAATTCATCACCCAGCCGCCCCGTCCCGAGGGTGAAAAGGGTGTTATTAACAAGCACCGACCCAACAGGCATAAACCGAAACTGTCCCGGGCGCGTCTGTTGCCGTAATTATAAGGGAGGCAGGAGGCGAAGGAAAGGAATGTGACTCAGGAATGAGGCCCATAAACCGTCTCCTGTGGGACTGCCCTTCGAGCCCACACCTTCCTCTCTGTTACATAACGCGGCCTGGGTGCCACCAAGGCCAGAGGGAGGGAAGGGACCGCGCACCCAGCCCGGCCGGCCGCAGTGCAGGTGTCCCTTCACCTAGGGAGCCGGCCCGGCGGCCGAGGTTACAATGACGCCTCCTTCCCGCCTTTGTTCTAAGGTGCGTGCGGGGCGCTCCGCTCAGGAAGGGGCCGCTATACTTAGAGCGTAGCGTCCTGTCTCCTCCGCAGGGAGTGCCCTGACCGGCAGGTGGTCCCCGGGGCCCAGGCGGGAAGAGTGGTGCCTTCCAGTAACGACCCGCCAGACGCCTCCTTCCCGCCTTTGTTCTAAGGTGCGTGCGGCACTCCGCTCGGGAAGGGGCCGCTATACTTAGAACTTAGCTGCCGCCCCGCTCAGTGTCCTGGCAGGCGGTCCCCGGGGCCCAGGCGGGAAGAGTGGTGGCTTCCAGTAACCACCCGCCGCCTCCGGTGCAGGCAGCCGGCTCTGCGCCTTCCTCAGTCAGTCCCAGTGGCCGCTGAGCATCCAGGACAATGAGCCTTTGCACGTAGCCACGGGGAAGATCCGGCGGCCGCCGTCCGGAGGGGCTCTGGGCGAATCCCGGCCCTGCCTACCCTGCCGGCCCTGCCTACCCTGTCGGCCCCACAGCAAAGCCGGGCACGGGTGGCCATCCACTCCCAGATGCTCCAGGAAACGCTGCAACGGGGCCGGTGTCCCCGAGAGAGCGGCTGGGTGCTGGCAAGGACGCCTGCTCTCCGGTGGGGCAAGAAGCACCGTTTATCTGTCCTTTTTGTTTGTTTTAACGTACAGCTTTTTATTGATTTTAGAGAGGGGGCAGAGAGAGAGGGAAACACTGATTGGTTGTTCCACTTATTTCTGCATTCATGGTATGTGCCCTGACCTGAGATTGAACCTGCGCCCTTGGTGTATAGAAATGATGCTCTAACCAACTGAGCCACCGGCGAGGGCTTGTATCTGTCTCCGCATAGAGCGTTAGCACAGCAAGTGTCCACGGAATCGCGAGCGCAGAGTGACGGCAAGGGCACCTGCAACCACAGGGCATTGGCGTCTCCTCCGGAGGAGCGGGCCTCGCGCTCTAGTTCCCGCGTCTAGGATGCGTGTGACCCCGGACCCGACTCTCCAACCCGCGGCCCCTCACTTCAGCGCAAAGGCTAGGACTGTGAGCCAAACCAGAGCCTGTGCAGATGCGTTCAGCTCCCGCGGGGCAAACAGGCAGCAGCTTAGAAAAGCAGGGGCACCTTCCCAGGCTGCAGCCCTTCCTGACAATGTCTCCCTTTGCTGCACCTGAAACAATGTCGCTAGTTTATTGCGCTGCTCAGGCTGCTCAAGATTCCATCCAGAGGTGAGAGGGACACGCCCGGGAGGACAGGTTTCCCTCCGCCTGCTCGGGGTCCTGGCTGGACCTGAAAGTTACACTGACAAGGGCATGCGCAGGAGGCAAACATCCAGATGATGTAACCCAGTCTCGTGCCGGGAGCCTTCCTGAGGAGGAGGAGGCCCGAGGAGCAGTTAGCTGAGTGCTTTCCTGCGGCCGAGGAGGGTGAGGGTGAGGGTCAGGGTTAGGGTCAGGGTCAGGGTCAGGGTCAGACAGCAGGAGTCCACACAGCCAACAGGAAACCAAGCAAGGCCTGTTTGGGTTCTCCGTCCCTCTGTCTTCAGAAATGAGGATGCTTCTTTCTGGGGGTGTCGGGCGGGCACCGCTCCCTCGAGGGGTTTGTGGCCTGTTTCAGCGGAGGGAGTGGGGGTCAGAGTGGGCTTCCTGCCTCTGCTGTTGTTAGACTCCTTCAGCTGAGTACTCAGCATGCCGGGTACCATATTTGGGGGGAGCGTGCCCTGAACCCCATCCCAAGCATCTTCTTAAAAGTCAGATATGAAGGACACACCTCCCATGTGCCCTTAGGATGGGTGGCGGGCGCATCGCCTTGCTTTGCCTCCCGTCTGAGCCCAGCCAGGCGGTCACTGGAGCGTGTCACAGTCCCCTCTGTCCGCTGGGCCAGGACTGAGGGACGCACCTTCCCACCCGCACACCTGCCTGTCCCCCGTCCACACGCTGAGGCAGCCAGGGGTTTCACCCCTTCTCTCCCCCGACTCTGGGTGTAATCAGGGTTCCAGATCGCGGGTGTCCCTTTTCCACCGTGGAAGCAGAAGGCCTGCGGGGTCAGATGTGCGATGTAGATTCAGCGAATCCCACGCTCCTGCAGGAGCGGACTCCCCAGGCAGACGCAGGCAGCAGGGCGCCGTTTGTCAGCGTGGATTATGCCCGAGGGAGCTGGGTCTGGAGGCGGGAGCCAAGGCAGCCACTGACCTGGCAGCTTCCCGGTCCTGGTGAGGTGGCAGGTCCCCCGGAGCCAGTTCCGTCCCGGTTCCTGGAAGCCTGGCCAGGGCCCGCATCCGTGAGCGCTCTGTCTCCCCCTCCCCCCTGGCACCAGCTCGCTCCAGTGGGTCCCGCTGTCTGCAGCTGAGACGCTGGCTGATACGATACGAGGGAGCAGGACAGCAGCGGGCGGGGCAGGGCGCCAGGAAGTGGCAGGAAGAGTCCAGACAGCGATGGGGGAAGCTGGCAAGTATTTTGAAGAACGATGACCATTTGTGGGGCCTACCAGGTGCATTATCTATAACCCTCACAGCAACTCCGTTAGCCGTCTTTCTTCCCACTTCACAGAGCAGGCAAGGCTTACCAGGTGTACCGGCTAATAATGAGGATTTTTTCCATAGATGGAGTTGATATATATGGGATTTGATATGTAAGCTATTTTGTTGTATTGACAAGCTTCAAAACATCATATGTCAAATTTTCTGAAGGTGTTAATATCATAGATATTTTTCATGCCAAAAAAAGAGCATTTGCAGGAAGTTTTAATTCATTACTTTATTTTGAAGAAAAGTGCTGTTGAAAGTGATCGTATACTTCGGGAAGCTTATGGTGAACGTGCTCCATCTCAAGATCCTTGTGAACGCTGGTTTAAACGCTTTAAAAGTGATGATTTCTATGTGAAAGACAAAGAACGTCCAGGTCAATTTGAACCACGCTTTGATCGTGAAACGACCAGAATGGGTCAGAAGACACGGCAAAGTAATTTTGCTTCATGATGACGCACCATCACACACTTCAAAACCAGTTAAAGACACGTTAAAAAA